TTCGCACAAAATTTGTTGCAGAAAATCCGCAATAATTATGCATCAACCTAATATAGTTTCCAGCAAATTGAACAAGTCAAGGTCGATCGGTTGTTCGTTGTTTTTTGTGTAAAGGAGGAGGTTTTCTACATTAGCTTGTCACACAATTTCACATGCAAAGCCGAAAAGTTGAACGGGTGGAGTCTCTCATGAATTCGACTTCGGTCCTAGTCACACGATCCATTTTTCTTTCCATAACTAAGTGAAATACGATTGAGTGATGTGTAGTATCTCATTCGTTTGCAAAAAGCTCAGAAATGCGCAGTTGCGAAGGAAAAATATTGATAGGCACGGTGATGAAATATGCTGACTATGACGCAAATTCTAAACAGTTCTTGCTTGGGTAATTCAAAACAAAAACATTGTGAGTTAATTCCTTTGAAGCGATCTGAAGCACTAAGGTTTCAATGGCACAACTTTACACTATGAACTTGAACGCTGCTCCTCTGGAGCTGTTCCTTTTGGGGTTTTGATAAGGGATTCAGAGCTTAGCTTTAATATAGAATAGTACTTGAAGAGTAAGGTATCACCATACCTTCCAATGACCCGTGAATAGCTTCCAAGCAGCTACTTCTGCCACGGAACTATGATGAGCAGGCATTTTTGTTCTTTACGCATCAGTGTGTTTGCATTTATTACAAGATTTTTTTTATGAAATAAATATTCCTCTCTCTTTCTAGAATCAACGACGAGTTCCATCCTCGAAGAAGATCCCTCCGTCGATAGCGCAATACTTGGGGCAAATACCGCGCTCTCCAGGCTGTCCAGGAGGTCCTTGAGGTCCGGGTTGCCCAGGATTGCCATCAGCTCCGGGTTTTCCGTCCGGTCCGGGAGGTCCTTTCGGGCCAGGTTGACCTGAAATTTATCACTTTCATCTATTTTCACGTAATGTACATTTTCAGTTTTCGTATTCTTTCACGCGATTTAGTTTTCGCTGCGGACTGGTGAGGAGTGGACTGGATAACTGCGGTGAAAAAACTGGCGAAACCCACATTCCCCGGTCACCGATTTTCCGATAAATCTGACTGACCCAACAAACGGAATGTCTCACCTGGTGCTCCATCAGTTCCGGGCTGGCCCATTGGTCCCATTGGTCCTTCTGGTCCAGGATCACCGTTAGGTCCTGGTTCTCCTGCCTGAGGTGCCTCGCATTCAGCTGGTAGTCCGGGCTCTCCCGCTTCTCCTGGGGATCCGGGCTTTCCAGGAGCTCCAGGTGGCCCCTTGGGTCCCTGTTCTCCGGGAGCAGCGTCTTCACCTGGTGGTCCTTGTTCTCCGTTGATTCCGTTATCTCCTGGAGCTCCTGGAGCTCCAGGTGGGCCCGGTGGTCCCTGTGGGCAAGGCTTGCATGGAGGAGGAGTAACTGTCTCACAAGGCATTTTTGGTGGTCGTCCTGGATTTCCAGGCATGCCAGGTGCACCAGGTCTGCCTGGTCTTCCAGGCTTACCAGGAGCTCCTGGAGCTCCCGGGGCACCGGGCAGGCAACATCCCTCACAACCTGCATCATAAACTGGCACATTGGGTCGTGGTGGTTCACCACCATGACTGTCTTCGTCACCATAACCAGTCTGTCTCGCGGTACGGTTATGAGGCTGTTGGAATCGTTTCAGATTGTGCACATCTGCCCAAACATCTCTCGCTGATCCCTAAATTTGAGCAACTGATCAAAGGCTCAACGCAGCTTCTACAAAAGAGTGTTCACCTTGCAGAGGATAGCTTCATTGTGAAGTTGTCGACGTACTGTGTGCACATAGTTGTAGACGATGGGCAGAGTGATACAGACGGACAGGACGGCAATCACCGAGAATACGACAGCCGAGTAGGCGACGAAGCGGTATGCCTTGATCTTCGTATCGATATCCATGCCTGCTTCAATCTTCTCGCGCTCGCGCCTTTTATATCAGCAATAGCGATCCGCCTTCACAAAGGCGCTTTTTGCACTTGTACACGTTCCGGGCGGCGGGTGGAGTTGAGTCGGACGACTTTCGCCCAAAAACGCCGGGATGTTTCTGAGACTGGATAACTTATTGCGGGGCATGAACACACTGGAGGCATCGAGGCAATAAGCCTCGCTAAAGAGGCTTCTAATCCTCGAAACGATTGTGGGAAAGACGGATGCAAGACGCTCCCACGCTGTCACGGGACTTCGCCAGGCCTTCTGACGTAAACTAAGAAGGTTACCAAAGTAATCAAGTCTCCAAAAAACCACCAATGATCGACTATCAATGGAAAAAGCCTGCGAAATATTCAAGCTTCAAACCATTCCGAAGAAGGAGAGTAATGAGGCTTTTGCTGATGAGAAGTTCTCATTTATTCAAAAAGTGTTAAAACCGTATGAACCTGCTAAAAGCAGAGCAATTCATTGCTAGCTGCCTAGGATTTTCGTACGAAATGTATGAACAGCTGGTGGAGATATCTTTCTGGGACTTCAAGCTAAAATAGGAACAGCCAGCGATCGTTTCATTTCAGCGACATTTTTTGAAGGTTGTGCTCGCTGTTGGACTTAATGTAGTGACCCTTCACTAGCACGGTAAGCAAGTTTACAGTGCCAAGCAAAGTTACTCTAACAAATCAAGCGATTGAGAAAGGAATGGATGTGAGTGAACCCAGCGATTGCGTTGGACGACTCGAACCAACCGATCTCATTAAGGCAAACTCATTGTCGGTGCCTGGAAATGGTTGGTCTCTTTCATACCTGGTTCTAATCTTCATCATAACGAGATAAGGATGGAGCGGTACTTGAGCTCAATAGCCACTGAAAAACGTTCAGTTAAGCGTCACCCGTTGTTTACTACTATCAACCTTAACACATCATTTCCTAGTTGTACACTTGACGCTACTACTAACACTTCACTAATCAGATTGGATCGAAATCTGTATTCAGTTAGAACTTAGTCTGCAGAGTCAGGTTGACCCTGAGCATGAATACCTAAT